ATCCCATCATTATGGAATCATCATCATCAAAACATTGTCATCATATCATCATCATCATAGAAACGGACATCATAGACACCAGACAACAACAACGCTACCAACGACACCTACACCCAAAACCCCTAAATAGTCCCTTGAGTCCTAGGTGCCTTCCCCCACACTCACCTCAAGCATTCCCTAACACTCTCCTTTGACTCAGACACCCCCCCACACTAGAGTAAAGCATCGTCCTCGATGCGGCGTGAGGACATGTAATAAGGGGGGGAGGACAAAGGGAGGGAACAAAAAGAACAAGGGAGAAACTAATGGCCACTAGAGTCGGCACTGTCGTTATCCGCGCTCCCACCGTCATAAGAGAAACCCGATGGGGGGCCATAGGGGTCCCAACCTCCGGAGTAGCCAGGTGGCCACCCACAATGACCTTTGAAGAGGTCAAGCTGGGACGCGGACAACTGGTCATATGGCTCGGGCTGTACAAGGGGGTCGGGGTGAGAGGGGTCGACATAGGGGTAGTTAGGATCACCCCTGTAATCACTCCCACCCAAAACCCGATAATCATAATGACCGGACTCATCAGGGAAATCACGCCTAGGCACAGCAGGGTCCGAGGTCCCTTGCCAATATGGGTACGTAGGTTGGTTGTCACCCCCCCCCCCCAAGATGGCACGGGCCCTTGTTGGGCCGGCACATAAGGGTAGTTAACCGGGGGAGTAACATCCCCTCTACGCACACTCAAATCATATAAGGCGCTGGTTTGGTAAGAGAGGTGTTGGTGGGAAGCAAACATACCTTGCATGCCGAGTTGCATGCTTTCCATTTGGGCTCGCATTGCCTCCATTTGTTGTTGGTAGTCAGGTTGATGATGTTGTTGTTGTTGCCTTGTGACAAGGGTTAAATCGGTCGCTACAATCTAACTCTCAATCAAACAATACTTATACGAACACCCTATAACCAAGTACAATGGCAAATAAAGGTTCGGTCCACGAGGAACGAAAGTAATTGCAAATCAATCTTAAACCTAAGCTAGTTCGAAATCAATGGAAAATGGTGTTCTAAAATAATACTAATAAGATGGAATAAATCAATAAACTAAGACACTAGGGAGAACGGGAATCCGCCTAACCATTGGTAACTAAGAAACAAGGAATCACAGAGACAAACGGGATATGCAAAGACTATAAGTCTGATCAATATCATGTGATAGGAAGACAACGGGCAATATTAAGCTTGGATTTCTCATGCACTTAACATTACTCGATACATAATCAAACCACATTCAATAATGAAATACTCAATTCACAATCTCTTGTTCAAATCAAGAATATCATGCAATCAAATTCAAGATTCTAGGTTAGCTACTCCTATTATAATGAATTAACATGCAATCGCATATAATCAATTTAATCACAATCCGTTTATCAAAATCAATCCTCAATTACATAGATTACCTAGGCCGGGTTTCATCCCGAAACCCTAGCTAGGAGACTACTCACACATATTCATAATCAAAGCAATAATGAATTCCAAAAGCATAATAGATATAAACATGAATTCTGATTAAGGAATAATAAAGCTTGATTAATAAAAAAGAATGAATAATACCAATTGTATTGATGAGAATCAATGGAAAAGTTCACAACTTTGATATCCGTCGTCAATGAATAATACAAAGAATCTTCGCAAATCTTGCTTCAAATCAATCCAAGAAAACTAAAATCTCTAGAAAAATCTCTAAGAAAACTAATGAATCTCTAATACTAAGAACGTTCTCCAATAACTCTCTACAAAGGCTCTCAAAACTATCTCTAAAACTGTCCCTGGAATCCTCTTAAAGTTGGGCCTTATATACGTCTTCTAATTCGGAGAAGTCAAGCGCGCAGTTAACCCTGGATCAGCACGGCCGTGCTGATTTTGGCACGGCCGTGCTAGCTTGTTAGTAAGTAAACCGGATTTCTTCTTCAAATTGGCACGGCCGTGCTATATATGGCACGGCCGTGCAGCTTCCTGGCACGGCCGTGCTAAAAATGGCACGGCCGTGCTGAATATGCTCTAGCACGGGGCTCATACTGAAGCTGACACGGGCACGGGCAACATCTGGCACGGCCGTTCTAATTACCTGCACGGTCGTGCGGGTGCGTGGATACTGACACGGCCGTGCTATTGGCTTACACGGCCGTGCTGCCTTGCCTGGGGTTGCTTGCTTATAGGCCAGCACGGGTGTGCCTATGGTAACACGGTCGTGCTGCCTGTGCTATGTAATCAATGCACGGCACTTGAACTTCCTTAACTCCTCGGACTCCGGTCAAGGCTAGCTCGGTTACGCATCAAGGGCTCGAGATCCGATTAAACTCGGTTGATATTACCTGAAAACACATCAAAAACAAAACGAAAACCCGTGAAGCACGTAATATGGGGAACGTAAGCATAACAAGGTAATAATCGGCCAAAGCGGCCCCAAATACATCCAAAATCATCCTAAAATATGCTCTAAAGCGCGCCCTAAAGTGCGCTTGTCACCTTGATCCTTGTTGTTGTTGTTGTTGTTGTTGTAGGTGGAACTCATCCTCTGTGCCCTCATTGCTTTGGCCGGACCCTTCCCCCGTGACCATCCTAGCACTAGGAAGGACGCCTGAGTCCTTATTTACCCACCATGGGTAATTGACTCCTTCCCTCGTGCAAGAAGTGAATTTCGGCTTGGGCAGGAAACAGTGGTGCTCGTAGGAGACAAGTAAGCTCCAAGTCTTTCCTCGATCCTCGGTATCAGCGATGAATTTCATGGTTTTTAGTTGGTCGAGGTCGAGCCAGATATCACTCCCATCACTCTTCCCTACGGGGGTGCAAGATTCAAGCTTAGCCAAATGCCCAGCTTCTCGGCTATCCGAGTAACCATCCCTCCAAAATGAATTTCACCCTTCCTTGTACTCGATAGGACACCCTCAATGCATTTGGTGAATAGAAACCCGAAATTCATTCTGTGCCCAATTTCCGGCTGCGTAGCTAGCCATAATATTCGGATTTCCTCGGTTGTAATCTTCCCCAAGTCTTGTTTGTTAAAGATCGTGTACCCAAGGATTCGATGCAGAAGTCTGATGGCTGGGTGCATGATCTGACTGGCTAAAGAGTACTTGGAGTTGAAGGCGTCCATTCTCAAAATGACCTCCCACCAGTGAAGGGGCTCATAAGCATGGAGGCCTGCATGCTCGGGGAAGAACATATCGGCATCAGGGTTGAAATCCAGCAGTTGGTTAAACTGGCGGAGGGTGAAGGTTTCTTTTTTGTTAAAGAGTTGGAAGGAGATGGAGAGATCATTATCTCCTGTGGCATGGGTTTCGAAGGAAGCAAGAAACTCTAGGGTAGGCTCTTTGTAGGTTCTATAGGCGCTTGACACAAAGGAACCAAGCCCGAGGTTGTTGAACAAGAACCAACAATCCTCATCGATGCCAAGCTTGGTTGTGGTGCAGTGATGGTAATGCTTGGTTGGTCTCAACTTCCTGTTTAGGAGGTTGTCGTAGATGGGTTTGTTGTTTTTGTTATGGAATTTGAGGGGTGGTAGAGGTGGTGGAGCGGTTTGGGGTGTAGGTTCATTTTGTTGGGGGTTGGAAGAGGATGAACCTTGGAGTTCCTTCCCACTCTTTCTCTTCTTAGAACCAAACACCATGATTATTTACTCAAGTTTCAATCACCAAGAAACACTCCCAACAAATCACAACTATAAACACCCACAACAAACTTCCAAAACCAAGCAATCACCACAAAGAACACTTCCAAGAGACACCAAGAACAACCTACAACAAAGCAATCTATACCAAGAGACAACTATGATAAACAACAACCCTAAAATCAATAATGAATAAGATAATAGATGAATACAAAATAGGAGTTCAAACATCAACAATTCCAACATAAAAATTCACAAGCATGCAATTTTCTCAAACTCAAATATACTTCAAATTCAAAGGAAATATAGAGTAAGGGAGAAATTTATACCAACAATGAGCTCAATCAAGTACTCTTACTAGCCTTTGAAGAAGCAATGAATCCCACCTCTAAGAATTCCTTAATGGTGGAAGCAAATTCCACACAAGAGAAAGTACCAAAAATTTGGGGTTTTTGGGGGTGAAAAATCAGATTTTTGGTGAGAGAATTTGTAGAAAAGTGAGGGAATTGTTGAAATTTGATGGAATTTGATGATTTGGGAGGAGAAATTTAAGAGGAATGGGTAAGGGTTTGGAATGGAGTAAGGAGTAGAGAGAGAAAGGGGAAAAAAACTGATATGGAGTTTATGTGATTTTCGGGCATATGGCTGAGAATTAAAGGAGAAGTCGCAGCTCTGAAGGGCCGCGCCCGCGGCATACCCTGTCCGCGCCCGCGGGTTCGTATGCCGCGCCTGCGGCTTTAGGGTTTCTGGTTTTTGTGATTCTGAACTGCATGATGTCGCGCCCGCGAGGTGGAATTGCGCGCCCGCGGAGGTGCCTGTCCGTGCCCGCGGAGGTGCCTGTCCGCGCCCGTGGTGGTGGACGCCGCGCCCGCGGCTGTTTCTTTCCGCGCCCTCTCTCAGCATCTCTGAGCCATCTCCACTTCCGTCAGAAAAATTGCAATCCCCTGTCGCGCCCGCGGGCCTTCTGTGGGCGCCCGCTCCAATTGTCTCCCAGGCATCTCCACTTTATCACGAAAGCAGGAGGGGGCCTGCCGCGCCCGCGGGCCTATGGGCCGCGCCTGCGAGTGGCCTGTGCGCGCCCTCTACAGGGTTCTTCCTGGGCATCTCTACTTTCTCTTCTTCCAAACTCCATCTCCTCTTCAAACCCAACTTAATAGATCAAGCACCCAAAGATCAAGGTACCTAATGAATGAACAAACACACACAATAAGAGATTGAAGGAAAAATCATTCAAAAATAATCAAAGACAAAAAAAACACAAAATCAAAAGGGTTGAGAACTCGGGTTGCCTCCCGAGAAGCGCTTCTTTATAAGGTCATTAGCTTGACCATTCACATCATTTTCAAGAAAGTGACTTAGGATCTGGCGGATCGAGCCTCATGCACTCAATCATGCCAACTTGATCACTGCAATGGTAGAGCTTCAAACGGTGGTCGTTAACCATGAACTTGTTCCCATTCGCTTCTAACTCAAAAGACCCATAAGGAGTTGTTTTCGAAATTGTGAAAGGCCCCGACCATTTTGACTTAAGCTTTTCGGGGAACAGACGGAGCCTAGAATTGAATAACAAAACCTTGTCCCCAACCTTAAAGCTCTTGTTCCTTATATGTTGGTCGTTCCACCTCTTGGTTCTCTCCTTGTAGAGTCTCGAGTTCTCATAGGCATCATAGCGGAGCTCCTCAAGTTCATTGAGCTTAAGTAGCCTCTTTTCGCCCTCCAAGGTCATATCCATATTGAGCTCTTTGATCGCCCACCAAGCTTTGTACTCTAACTCAACCGGCAAATGACAAGCTTTTCCATAGACCAATCGGTAAGGAGTAGTACCAATCGGGGTCTTGTAAGCCGTCCTTAGAGCCCAAAGCGTATCATCAAGCTTGAGAGACCAATCTTTCCTAGACTTGTTTACCATCCTCTCAAGAAGGTTCTTGATCTCCCTATTTGATACCTCCACTTATCCTTGAGTTTGGGGGTGGTATGGTAGGCCGATTTTATGATGAACCCCATAGCGTTTGAGGAGAGCTTCAAGTTGTTTCTTGGCAAAGTGAGAACCACCATCACTAATAAGAACTCTTGGAACCCCGAATCTTGGGAAGATGATCTTTTTTAGAAGCTTGAGCACAACCTTGTGGTCATTGGTGGGCAAGGATATAGCTTCGATCCACTTGGTCACATAGTCCACCGCCACCAATATATAGAGATTGCCACAAGAGGAAACGAAAGGCCCCATAAAGTCGACCCCCCATACATCAAAGGGTTCAACCTCCAAAATATTTTGTTGAGGCATTTCATCACGCTTGGTTATGCCCCCACTCCTTTGGCACTTATCACATCTAGCTATGAATTTGTGGGCATCCTTGTGCATTGTTGGCCACCAAAGAAGAGATTGAGAAATTTTGGCCACGGTCTTTTCTACTCCTCCATGCCCACCACATGGCAATGAGTGACAATGCTCAAGCACCCCTTCGATCTCATGATCCGGAACACATTTTCTAAAAAGCCCATCTCCACATTGCTTGAATAAATAAGGGTCGTTCCAAAAATACCTCCTCACTTCTTTGAAAAAACCTTTTCTTTTGTTGAGAGGAGAACTCCGGGGGAACGACACCACATGCTAAGTAATTGGCAATGTCCGCATACCAAGGGCTTGATGTTGATGCAATGGCCATAAGAGCCTCAAAACCCACTTCTTCATTGATAGGCACGTCTTCTTTAGTATCAAAAGGAAGTCTCGATAGATGATCCGCTACATAATTTTCCGCCCCCTTTTTGTCCCTCATCTCCATGTCAAAGTCTTGGAGAGAGAGAACCCAACGAATGAGACGCGGTTTTGCTTCCTTCTTAGTCATGAGGTAGCGGACCGCGATGTGATCCGTGTAGACTATCACCTTTGAGCATATGAGGTAAGACCGGAACTTATCCATGGCAAAGACAACCGCTAGAATTTCCTTCTTCGTTGTGGTATAATTCTTTTGAGCTTCGTCGAGCGTTCTACTTGCGTAGTAGATGACGCAAGATCTTCCTTCTTTCTTTTGCCCAAGTACGACACCCACTGCAAAATCACTTGCATCGCACATTAGCTCAAAAGGAAAGCTCCAATCCAGAACTTGCACAACAGGAGAAGAGATGAGGGCTTCCTTGAGCTTTTGGAATGCCTCAAGGCAAGCCTCATCAAAATTGAACACAACATCCTTTTTGAGTAACTCGGTTAAGGGTTTGGCGATAAATGAATTTTTTTTTATAAACCTCCTATAAAAATCGGCATGCCCAAGAAAAGCTCTCACTCCCGTGACGGAGGTAGGAGGGGCAACTTAGAAATCACCGAAACCTTAGCCGAGTCTACTTCAATGCCCTTTTTTGATACTTTATGGCCTAGGACGATACCTTCCTCGACCATAAAATGGCATTTTTCCCAATTCAACACTAAACTCGTCTCTTGACACCTTTTCAAAACTTTTTCAAGGTTAATAAGGCATGTGTCAAAAGACGATCCACCAACACTAAAATCATCCATAAAAACTTCAATTTCATTCTCAAGCATTTCAGAAAAAATGGAAGTCATGCATCGTTGGAAAGTTGAGGGGGCATTGTATAACCCAAACGGCATTCTTCGGTATGCAAATGTCCCATATGGACACGTAAAAGTAGTTTCCTCTTGATCATTTGGATGGATAGGAATTTGGAAAAAGCTGGAATATCCATCCAAAAAGCAAAAGAAAGCATGATGGGAGAGTCTTTCCAACATTTGATCCATGAAGGGGAGAGGAAAATGATCTTTCTTAGTGTTCTTGTTCAACTTCCTATAATCAATGCACATCCTCCACCCGGTGACCGTCCGGGTGGAGATTTCCTCTCCTCCTTCTCCCTTGACAATGGTCATTCCACCCTTTTTGGGAACCACGTGAACCGGGCTAACCCACTTGCTATCGAAGATAGCATAGATTATACCCGCCTCACGCAATTTCAAAATTTCTTTCTTGACTACCTCTTGGAGGTTGGGGTTCAACCTCCTTTGAGGTTCAATGGAGGTGGATTGATCATCCTCAAGGTGAATACGATGCATGCATAAAGAAGGGCTAATACCCTTAATGTCGTCAATGCTATACCCTATCACATTTCTATATTTTCTCAAAGCAACAATCAATTTTTCCAAATCAAGACCATTAAGGGAAGCGTTAACAATAATGGGGTATTCTCCTTCATTTCCAAGATAAGCATATTTCAAAGAAGGGGGAAGGGGTTTGAGTTCTACCTTGGGAGGAGGCTTAGAACTCTCCTCAAATTTTTCCTCCTCATGCTCTAGCTCATCATGCTTAGTATCACTCTCTTCCTCCTCTTTGGCTTCTTCAATGGCCATAGCAAATTCCTTTTCTTCTTGGGAGAAGTAATCTTCCTCACATGTGAGAGCTTTGACCATTGGATCTTTAGGACTCATGACAACCCTTCCCAAACGATCTAGCTCTTCATTGACAACATCAATTCTATAGCACTTCTCAACCATGGGGGTCTTGAGTAGCTTAGAGAATTCAAAGACAATTTTTTCATCGGCTACCTCACATGTAATGGTATTATTCTTGCAATTGATTACCGCCCCCAAGGTTTTAAGAGCTTCACGGCCCAAAATCAAAGGTGTATCCACATCCCCCTTCCATATCGATCACTACAAAGTCACATGGCACATAGATATGCCCAACTTGAATAGGGACATCTTCAAGCTCACCACAAGGTAGCTTCACCGAACGATCGGCCAATTGAATGGTTTTCCTTGTGGGGATCATCTCAATGTTAAGCTTTTGAGCAATGGATAGAGGGATCAAACTAACACTTGCTCCGAGGTCGGCTAGGGCACCCCTAGCTTCCATGTTCCCAATCTTGACCGGCAAGGTGAAGCTTCCCGGATCCTTTTGCTTCTTGGGCATTTTGTGTTGAACAAGTGCGCTCACTTGATGGGGAAGAGTGATAAGCTCATCATTGAGCTTCCTTTTGTTGGTGAGAATGTCTTTCAAGAACTTGGAGTATGAGGGCATTTGTGTGACGACCTCAATGAAAGGGAGGTTAATGTGTAAGTTTTTCATCACACTTAGAAACTTTGCAAATTTATCGTTCAATTTTCTCTCCGCAAGCCGACCGGGAAAAGGAACCGGTCCATCAAGGTTTCTAGCCTCACTAGAAGTTGAGGATGTCACCACATCCTTAGTCTTCTTTTTCTCCGTACTCTTCTCTTTCTCATCAACCTTCTCTTCTTCAACTTTTTTATCATCACTCATCTCTTCTTCTCCCTCCTTCTTTTCCTTACCATCCTCTTCCTTGGGACCCTCATAAGATGTACCCGATCTCAATGTGATTGCCTTGCAAGAGTCGGGTTTCACAATATTGGAAGGGTTGGTTTGTGATTGTCCGGGCAAAGTAGAAGATGAGTTGAAAGGAACCCTCTCGGCCAATTGTGCTAGTTGTGAATCAACCATCTTATTATGAGCCTTGACTTCTTGCATTTGTTGATTCATGGCTTGAAGTTGTTGAAGAATTTGAGTTTGAGTAGAATCAGGTTGAGATGTTTGCTCTTGACTTCTTTGAGTTGCTTGGGTTTGATTTTGGTATTGGTGTTGATTATTGTGTTGGTTGTTTCTTGGGTAGTTTCCTCTTTGATTTTGGGTTTGGAATGGAGGAGGGTTTCGATATTGGGTGTTGGAATTGTATGGTTGTTGACCTTATTGATTCCATTGTTGAGGTTGGGTTGCAAATCCGGGTGGTGGTTGTCTCCAAGCTACTCCTCCACCATTTCCCCTATACCCTTCTTGCCTTGTGTTGTATGCTGCTACATGCTCCGGGCTCAACCCGCCACAATAGGATGTATCATGGTTGGTGCCACCACAATTTTGACAAGAGAAAGAGTTGACTTGGGAGGAGCTTGAACCACTAGCAACACTTGTATTCAACTTGGAAAGCCCTTTTGTCAACATCTCAATTTGATGTTGCAATTGATCGACTTTCTCCAACTCATACTTCCCACCTTTCTTTGGCGCATTCCTCCTTCTTCCTCCCCAAGAGTAGTTTTTAACTACCTCTTCGATCGTTGCTTCAACTTGATTTTGAGGGACTTTGATCAATTGTCCACCCGCCCCCGCATCCAAATTAGCTCGAGACATCGGTTCCAAACCATCATAGAAGAACCTCATGAGTAAGCTTTGATTGTACTCATGGTGAGGACATGCTTGCACCAACTCTTTAAACCTCTCCCAAGCTTCACTAAGACTTTCCTCCGCCTCTTGTTCAAAAGATGCTATCTTCCTCCTCATCTCGGCGGTTTTCTCTTCGGAGATGAACCTCTTCAAGAATGCTTGGACAATTTCCCTCCATGTTGTGAGAGAATTAGGCTTGACTTGCTTGAGCCATTTCTTTGCTCTCCCCGCAAGAGATTGCCGAAATAGGTGCATCCGAATGTATTCTTGAGAAACTTGGTTTGTTTGTATCATGGCACAAAGTTCGAGGAACCTATCAAGGTGCTCAATGGGGTCTTCACTTGGAGAACCCGAGAATTGTTCCGCTTGAACCATTCGAGTGTATTGAGGATGAATGGTGAAGTTAGTTTCAGTGACGGGTAACAATATCCCACCGGTGAGCTCATAATCCTCCGGATTACCGAACTCACGAAATAATACATCCACTTGTTGTCCTGCCATTTCGTCACTTGGGGAATGTGAGGAACAAGAATCACTTTCACTATCAAAGATTGCACCAAAACCTTCTCCCTCTTCTTGATAGAGTCTACGGACTTGTCTCAAGGTTCGGTCGATTTCGTGATCAAGGTTGTGAGTAGGTGGTCCTTGATATCTTCTTTGCATTCACCAAAGCTAAACAAACAATTAGAAATGACTAGCAAGTGGAAAAAGAACTAAACAAAAAGCAACAAAATCCACAAATCACGCAAATAAATGTGCAAAAACTAGCCGTTCCCCGGCAACGGCGCCAAAATTTTGATCGGTGGACAATAGGTCGTTAGTTTACTATCCTAGATCAAAATTACAATTTATAACTCCTATCCTAACTCTATCAAATTTTTCTTTAGATAACGGTAAGGTAGGGTCGATTCCCAAGGAAACGGGGGTTTAGCACAATTAATACGAAATCGAGGAGAAATTGCTAGTAACAAAAAGGGGGGTATTTGGATTTGTGTTTGAAGAATTCTATGGACAAACCAACTACTATTGAGCCTAGAATAAACTAGAAATAAGGGAAATAGATTAAACACTTTTGAAAGCAAATAAATGGACAAGATTAGAAAGATAACAATGACAAAAGCACTAGGGAGAGGGGGATTCAATCATGAACAAGGAGTACTAATGAAAACCAAAGGGAAACCGATTC